TAGCACAGGGTCTCCCTCTTGAATCCCAAAACACGGTGGGGTCTTCCATTGTGTCTGGCCAGGCCTGGGCATCAAGAGGAAGCTGGCACAGCCCCTGGCTGGAGGGCTCCGTGTCTCCTGGGCACATGGGCCTGGACAGAACAGCATGGACTCAGGAGTCCAGCGGGCTCAGATCCTGGCTCCCACATCTGTACCCTTGGGCATCTCGGCCTCTCAGAGCCTCCGTTTCCTCTTCTGCAAAACAGTGGTCGTGGTATGGACCTTGCAGAATCCTATGGGATTCTATTAGGGAGTCTATGAGATGCTAAACACCAAGCACCCGGCCTGTGCCTGGCACGCCCTGGTTCATAAGACGCACAGCCAACATCTCTGAACATCATCTTATTAATAAGATACACAGCCCACATCTGCTAGCACTGGCATAAAAGTGAGAAGAGCGCTGAGTATCAGCAAGACAGCAGGAAATTCTGCCTGCAGGGAGGGAATCGTGGAAGGCTTCACAGAGGAAGTGACATATGAGTTGTGCTCTTTGGGATGAGTAGGAGTTTATGGGTCAGAAAACCAAGGAATTAGGTTCAGCACGGATCTGTCTGGCATGTGTGGTGTGGACGTGCCAAAGAGGATACCAAAACTGAAAGAGCATAGTCAGTTTCCCGTCAAGCAAGTCTTCATGAGCCCCCGTGTCTGCAGAGGGAATTACAGCCTCAGATGTACAGGACAGAAAGACGGCCGAAAACCACTGTCCAAGTCCATGACACCATGTGCATGACAAGGGCTGTGACCAAGGTGTGTACACGGGGCAGGACACAGAGGGGGATGTTTTGTTCAGCTGGACGCTTCCTTGGTGATGGCAGTTTGAGCCGGTCTTTGCACGTCCAGCGTTAACCGGCCAGTCGATGGGCCCGTTCACAGGTGCTGCCTCTGAGCTGGGGTTGAAAGGCTAGAGTGTTGGAACCCAAACTGGAACCTAGAAGCTTGGTCACCCACACCACCTGGTCTTCCCCAGTGATGATCACCGCTCCCTTCCGGCATGCACATCAGTCCCTCTTAGATAGCCACCGTGAGCTCTCCAGCCAGGTCCTCCACAACCCCCCTTAGCCGACGTGGGGACACCAACCTGGCTTGGGGACAGCACCCCGGCTCCCCCTGCCCTTCAGCTCTGCCTGCATCCTGCACATCAGAGGAGCTGGGTCCCTTTGGTTTGTTGTTGTTTTTGGTTTTGTTGAGTCAGAGTCTTACTTTGTCACCCAGGCTGGAGTGCAGTGGCACGCTCACGGCCACTGCAGCCTCGACCTGCTGGGCTCAGGCGAGCCTTCCACCTCAGCCTTCCAAGGAGCTGGAACCACAGGTGTGCACCACCACACCCAGCTAATTTTTTGATTTATTGTAGAGACAAGGTCTCGCCATGTTGCCAAGGCTGGTGTCAGACCCCTGGGCTCACGCAATCCTCTCGCCTCAGCCTCCCAAAGTGCTGGGATTACAGGCGTGATCCACCAAGCCCGGCCGAGCTGGGTCCCTTTAGAGTTGGCCCTCTCTGCCTGTCACAGCAGACACGGGTGGCAGGAACAGATGGCTGTGTATGAGGCTGAGGGAGGGGCAGCTCACACAGTACCTGCGTGATGGCAGCCCGTGGGCCGGGTTGTTCCTTGGCCGAGGTTCCCTCGGGCTCCCGCAGGCCGGGACTTCTGTGGAGAGGGAGGCCTGAGGAACCTGCTCTCCTCTGCCGTCTCATGACACAGATACACGCCGTCCACACTGCTGGGTCATGCAGCTGTCAGCTGCAGGGACTTGCAAGGCTGGGCCCAGAGCCCGTGTCCCTGCCGCTGTGCGACATGCCTCCTTTCCTGCTCCCACCCCACAGCGCCATACAGTATCTCATTGCAGACTCCGGTTTCTGCCTCCCCTTTCCTGACCACCTCTTTTCTTTCTCCTTCTCTAGCTGGAGCGGCGGTGCAGGGTCCCAAGGGGCCCAGGCTCCCTTCATTGGGCAAGACGGGACCGCTTTTGCTTGACTGGGATCCCTGGTCACCCCTTGTTTGTGGGGGAGACAGGCTAGAGAACCAGCCCACAGTGACGCACCTCCAGTAACATGCTGGTCCAGGGCAGAAGGCAGGCTCCAGCTGACCTTGTGCACCCTTGTGCCCTGGGTCACAGGCTTCCTTGGCCTGGGACCAGGGGCCCCGGGCTGAGGGCAGATGGTGGGGGGGTGCTTGCCGTCATCGACATCATCATGATGATTATGCCTTTGGAGATTCAGAGTCAGCCATTTGATCACCAAAATTCCACCATGGATGTCAGACCCCGTCTGCAGGCCCCTCTCCTGACCCTGCCTGGTGGTGGTCCCTCTGACAAACCCAGAGAAGGAAACAAAACCCCCGGCTGGGCAGGAGGGAGCCGTGGCCCCACAGACCCCCAGCCGTGGGCCTGGCCTCTGGGAGGAGGGCAGAGAAGCAGAACTGTGTGGAAAGGAATCAGACAAGACCTTCTGTGAGGGCCAGAGGGTCTCAGAGGACCAGGAGCCAGAGGAAATCACTCCCTGAGAACATGCACCTTGAAGGGCAGATCAGGATTTTAAAAAGCAGAGCTTGCAGCGCCGAGCGAAGTCCAAGACATTCCCAAAGACTTGCCGTCCCTGGGTGGTCACCAGGGCAAAGTTCGTGGTGAGGGCAGTCTCCAGAGACCACCTTGGTAGGAGCAGCCATGAAGATGCTATTAATAGTTGCAGACATTTATGGTGCACCTACTGTGTGTGGGCATTGCCCTGTCTCCTCGTTTGCTACTTGAATAGCAGTGCTGTGAGTTACGACCATCCCTGTTAGCTCCATTTTACAGAGGTGGCAGCTGTAAGGGAGACTGGGTCCCGTGGAACCCTCCACAGCCCCTCCAACTAGAGAAGGGGAAAGAAAAGAGGTGGACAGGAAAGGGGAAGCAGAAACCGGAGGCTGCAATGAGATGCTGTGTGACACTGGGCGGGAGGTCGGGGGAGAGGAGAGAGAGGGGCATATCGCACAGGCCCTGGACCCAGCCCTGCAAGGTGGAGGCAGGACAAAACCCAGGAGGCCCAACTCCAGAGGTCCCACCCCCTCTGGGCCGGGTGGCCGAGGACTGTGCTGCACTCAGGACATGACAGTGTTTCCCTCCTGGGCTGCTACCCTGTGGGTGGCAGCAGGACCTTGTGGCAGTCCAGACATTAGAGTTGCTAGCGCCTCCACGCTGCTGTCTCTGCCCCCTGAGATGCCACCCCCACCCCCTGGACTGCTCAGACAGCATTTGGATGAACAAGGACGTCATCCACCATATGCTGTCTCGGGACCACCCAAGCAGACCACAGAGAGGCCGCGGCCATCACCCTGAGCCCAGGTGGTGCCAGCTGTGTCAGAGGCACAGGGCCAGCCTGGGTGTCGTGGCAGAAGCTTCTCTGTCTTTTCATGGGATATCGAATCTATTTTTAAAAACATCATTCTTAAAGTTTTTCCAACTGACACATAATAATTGTGCATGCTTGAGGCTACCTAGTGGCGTTCCAATGCATATGATGTATAGGGACCAGAGTGGGGTGATTAGCGTAGCCACCTGAAGTGTTTTTATAATTTTGCTCTTCTTTGGCAAGAGAATTCCCTTGGAGAGCGCTGTGTCATATTTAAAGTTATAGGTAACCAGGGGCACCCCCAGGTCCAGACAGCGACAGGGGTGGGGTTGACACTGCTGAACAGGCAGAGCCTTCTAGCTGGGGCCACCACCGGCAGCTCTGATGGCCACAGCTGAGTGGCAAGTGTCACTTTTATTGATTGACTTCACAGGGACTGCAAAGAGACAGACAAAAGTGATCCTGAAGGTCCTAGTGGTTCTGCCTCCTAATCCAGGGGCGTTCTGTAAGCAGCCTCTTATACACCGGCTGGTTCTCAGGGGCAGCCCTCGCCCTGTTCCATGTGGTAGGAGAATTTCTGTGTCTGTGCTCCAAGGGCAGGGACGTTTATCTGGCTTGTGCCTCAGATGGTATTCACGAGTGTTGATTGAATGACCAGTAACAGGTCTGAATAAGGAAAACAGGCCTGAGCGGGCCCGGAGCTGCCCTCTTGCATGGGTGGTCAGGGCAGACTTCTTGGAGAAGGAGATGTCTGAGCAGGGACCAAGTGGAGGGAGCAAAGCCCTGCTGGTGCCCAGCCATGTGCTGAGCACTCCAGACGGGTCACCTCATTTGTCCCCCATATGTAATGTTGTCCTCTGGCTACAGATGGGGAAACTGAGGCAGGGATGACTTGTAGCAGCCATTGCAAAGCCGTCCCCTCAGAGCCCAGGCCATGGCTACAGCTCACAGAGAAAGGGCCATTCCCCCTCAGCCTACTCGTTTCTTGCCATCTGGAAGTCAGGCCTTCAGTGACAGGATATCGGACAAGGCAGGTGATGCCTGTCTGTATGGTCCCAGGCCCTTTGATTAGGTGGGTGGGAAGACAGTGCTGGGTGGGCAGCGCTTCCGCTGGCCCCTCTTGAGAAGGACCCTGCTATTCTAGGACAGGGGCCACGCCAACAGAGGCTACACCCCCGGTTCAGCCGTTGTCCCAGCCGGGGCCCGGGCCCTTCCCTGGGTGAACACAGAAAGCAGCTCGTGCCGGGGGGCAGCCAGGGGACAGCCTGGGCCGGGTGACCGAGGACTGTGCTGCACTCAGGACGTGACAGCGTTTCCCTCCTGGGCTGCGACCCTGTGGGTGGCAGTCCAGACATTGGAGTTGCCAGCGCCCCCACGCTGCTGTCTCTGCCCCTCTGAGATGCCTACAGTTTACCCGACAGCAGAATAGCTCGATCACCCAATGCTGTCAGCCGCAGTTCCCTCGGGTGACACTGTCCAGTCTTCGCAGTTCTTCAAGCAAGTGGCTCGGCCCCGCCCCTGTTACAGATGGGGAACCCTAGTCTGGTGAGGGGCAGTGGCTTACCCAGGGCATTCATTGGCTCATTCATTCAGTCAGTGAAAAGCTAAGCACTGAGGATCTGCAGGGTTTGCCTGTTCTCGTCTCCGTCGAGTGTGTGGTAGAGCCGGAATTCAAGCCCAGGGCCTTCCCACTGCAGAACCAAAGCTCCTAGCCACAGGCCAAGGGGCTTCCCGCTTGCTTCTCTGTCCACTGGCCCCCTCCAGGTGTCCCAGGCCAAGGGCCTCCACCCCAGCCGTGACCCCCACGGTGCCCTCTCTCTCCTGCCACAGGAGAGCGAGGACGCAGTCAAGGCCCTGGCCAAGGAGAAAGACTTGCTGGAGCGTGAGAAGTGGGAGCTGCGGCGCCAGGCCAAGGAGGCCACGGACCACGCCACGGCCCTGCGCTCCCAGCTGGACCTCAAAGACAACCGGATGAAGGAGCTGGAGGCCGAGCTGGCCATGGTGAGGCCCCTTCCCCTGGCAGGATCTGGGACCTGGACCTCGGGCAGGAGCTCCCAGAGAGTCCCAGAGTGGGCAGAGCAGGACCTGAGTGGGAGGGTGGGGGGTGGGGCCAGGGGGTCTTCCCTCCAAGACCATTCAGGCCACCAACCCCAAAGCCAGGGACAGTGGGGACACTTTATCCACCAGCCCCAGGCCAGGGAGAGTGGGGACACTGGGAGACCCTTCGCTTGTCCACACACCCCCGAATACTGTTAAGAAAGAAAAAATAGGCCGGGTTTGGTGGCTCACCCCTGTCATTCCAGCACTTTGGGAGGCTGAGGTGGGAGGACTGTTGGAACCCAGGAGTTTGAGACCAGCTTGAACAACATAGTGAGACCTCATTTCTACAAGAAAATAAAATTTAAAAAATTAGCTGGGCGTGCCCATAGTCCCAGCTACTCGAGAGGCTGATGCAGAAGGATTGCCTGAGCCAGAAGGATCACCCGAGCCCAGGAAGTTGAGGCCACAGTGATCCATGATTGTGGCACTGCACTCCAGCCTGGGCGACAGAGTGAGACTCCAACTCAAAAAGAAAAACAAAAGAATGATTGTTGTTTAAAGCATCCATATTTGATTAGGAAAATATTTGGGAGGAAATATACCAAAATATGAACACAAGTTGTCTTGGGGTGGTAGGATTACAAGCAACATATAGATATGTATGCCTATTTTCAGATGTATCTACAGCAAAAATGACTTTCCTGAGTCAAGGAAAAAAAAAATGGTTTTTTTTTTTTCTAACCTTAAAGCCTGAAAATACTCCCAGCACTCTATTTCCTAAGGAGGTGCGTAGCACAGAGCCCAGGTGTAGACAGAGAGCCTGGAGGTCTGTTCTGTCTGCTCCTGTGTGACCTTGGGCCATCCACTGAACTGCTCTGGGCTTCAATGCCTTTTACTTGTTACTGGGGTGGAGGTGGGGTCTTCGAGGTGGCCGGGTAGAACCAGAGAACTAGTGGCTAGAGGGGCTTTTGAAATCCACCAGGACTAGGGGTGATAAAGGCTGGGAGGAGAGTGGACAGAGGCATCCTGGGGGTCAGGGCACACGGCTCTCAGAGGACTTTGCGTCCCCAGAGTGCTGCTGCAGCTAGCAGTGTGGTACAGCCGCAGGTTCTGGATTCTAATCCAGCCCCCGCTGCTTCCGAGCTGTATGCCTTGGGCCAGGAGCCCTTGCCTCTGTAGCCTCGGTTCCCCTGACTCTAAATAGAAGTCATGGCATAGACAATCAACCCTCAGCCATGTGGGGATAGGGCACCAGCCCCCATGCAGTTGAAACTACACGCATGACTTTTGCTCCTCACAAGTTAACTACTACAGGCCTACTGCTGACCGGATGGCTTACCGGCAACAGCCAGTCGATGAGCACATATGTCGTATGTCATGTGTATTATAGACTGCGTTCTTACCATCAGTAAACCAGAAAAAAAGAAAATGCTGTGAATGAAGGCGGTCATAAGGAAGAGGAAATGTATTTGCTATTCATCAAGTGGCAGCGGGTCATCGGGAAGGTCTTTATCCTCACCACTCCCACCATGAGTGGGCCAAGGTGGACGAGGGGGAGAAGGAGAAGGCGGGGGTAGGGATGGGTCTTGCTGTCTCAGGGGTAACAGGCAGGAGAAAACCCACAGATAAGTGGACTGGTGCAGGTTAAACCCCCAGCTGTCCTCCTTGGGTCCTGATGAGAATCTCAGTGAGATAACATGAGAGGCGCCCTCAGCATGGTTCCTGGACTGGGTAGAAGTGATGATGGTTTCTGAGGACCCAGCCCCTGGGGCAGGCAGGTTCCGCAGCCTCCCCTGGATCTCCCTGTCCAATACTGTCCCCTCATGGTGAAGAAGCCGCAGCTGTAGGGACCCCTCTGGGCCGGGCCGAGAGTCTCCACAGTGGGGTCGGTGGTGCTGGGGGCCCTGCTGCCGCCTAAGTCCAGACCGGAACTTTCAAGCTGCAGGCCAGGAGAAGGGGAGCTGGAGGGGGCCTGGAGCCCCAGGTGTTCCTGGAGCCCTGTGCATGGGCAGATGTGTCTTCCCGCCTCGGGCACTGGCCTCGGGCGGCAGGGACTGCCTGGGTCTTTTGGGCCTCCAGCCAGCTCAGCTCAGCCTCCACTCCCACCACGCTTGCTTCGCTCTGGCTGTCAAAACTCAGGTCAGGCTTCTTCTTCCTGGCAGCATCCAAGCACTCCACTAGCAGGAGTGTTACCAGCTCAGGGTGATGATGGGTGTGTTGCCACGTCAGCTCTGGGCTCGACGGTCGAGGAACTTCTTTGGAGCTGTGATGGCCCCAGTCGTGTTGGGGTGCCCGCTCGACTGCAGGTCCCCCCGTGGCCCACCCTCTGTGGAACTGCACAACTAGGGCTGCCGGCGGACCCCGCTCCCCTGCACTGCCAAAGCCCCCAGCCCCCCAGGCTGCCTTTGGTCCTGGCCAGTTGCAGCACAAGCTGAAACAGGAATAAGTCAGGATCCGCCGCAGCTGCCCGGGGTGTCCATGTTCACCCGAGACCTCTGTGTAAGAGGCCAGGTCCCTTCGTGTCTCGCACTCATCCCCCCTGCCCTGGCAGGAGCCCGGGGAGCCCCTTGGGAAGCAGAAATTGGCTGTGATGACAAGAATATGCGTTGCTACATTCTCTTTTTTTTTTTTTTTTGAGTTGGAGTCTCGCTCTGTCGCCCAGACTGGAGTGCAGTGGCCGCTCCCGGCCACCGCAGCCTGGACCTGCTGGGCTCCGGCGATCCTTCCGAGTAGCCGGAATTACGCCCAGTTGATTTTTTGATTTATTGTAGAGATGAGGTCTCACCTGCCCGGGCGGGTCTCGAACCCGCGGACTCAGGCAATTCACCTCAGCCTCCCAAAGGCACAGGATTACAGGCTGAGCCAACAAGCCCGGCTGCTACATTTCTAACACACACGGGCTTTTTCTCCCCCAAAGAATCTGAAGTCATTGGTAATAAATGCGCATACCCTGGGGGGGTAGACACAGGTGATGGGCAGAGGGAGGAGCCTTGTGACCAACCCAGAGGCAGCTGCCTGCCCCCTAGCTCCGCCCACACTTGTCCCTGGGCTTCCTGGAGTCCTGCGCATTCTTGTCACGGGATCCAAGAGCCAGGGGGAACTGGGGCTGGGTGTGGTGGCTCACACCTGTCAGCCCAGCACTTTAGGCCAAGGTGGGAGGATCGCCTGAGCCCAGGAAGTCGAGGCTGCAGTGAGTTGTGATCGCACCACTGCACTCCAGCCTGGAAACTGGTCTGGGCACGCAGGTTGAGTTCCCCTCGTGGTGCGAGCTGCCTGGCGGGAAGAAGCCGCAGCTGCAGGAATCTCTCTTGGCCGGGCAAGGGATTGCCACAGTTGATTCTGTGTTGGGGGGGGGGGGGGGGGGGGTGAACACAGATTTTCTTGGACACAGGCTCGGGAAGGGGGAGGGAAGGGTGGCTTTGGGAGGAAGACTGAGGTCATAGAAAAGCCCAAACACCACTGTCCCACGACTGCATTTGTATCCCGGCTCGTCCCTGGAGAACCCCAAAGCATGGGCAACAAGGACGTTCTTGGAACCTGCTCCCCGTATTTCTGGTCTCACTTAGCTCTTAGCAGGATCTGGGGGGTGACCCCAAAGCGAGCTCCAGGTGAGTCCTATCGAGGGACGTGCAGTGTGGAGCTGGCGATTCCCTGGTGCCGAGGTGGGGCTCATGGCTCTCCCACCGCAGCCGTGGGGCCCCCGGTCACACCTCCTCCTTCCTGTCCCCCGCTGTCTGCGCAGGCCAAGCAGTCGCTAGCCACACTGACCAAGGACGTGCCCAAGCGACATTCCCTCGCCATGCCGGGCGACACGGTGCTCAACGGCAACCAGGAGTGGGTGGTGCAGGCGGACCTCCCGCTGACCGCCGCCATCCGGCAGAGCCAGCAGACCCTCTACCACTCCCACCCCCCCCACCCTGCAGACCGGCAAGGTGAGTCCCATCCATCCTGGCCCAGCGGGGCTTCTGGGCTTCACAGGAGGCATCTGACCCGGGGCGAGGTGGCTACTTCGCTTGCACCACAAGGCTTAGGGGTTATATGGTAGAGAACTTGGGCTCATGTAACCGAAAAGGCTAAGGTGGGTTTCAGGCATAGCTGGATGTAGAGGTCCAAACACTGTCTGTCTCCTCTGACTGTCTGTCTCCTCCCTTCGCTCTGCTTGCCTCCACGTGGGTTCTTCTGTAGGCCTCCTCTTTCCACAAGGCAGTAAAACATCCCCAGCAGCTTCAGACTTTTAAGGATCTTACAGCTCAAAAGTCTTGAGAAGGAGAAACTGTCCCTTACCCATGTGTCCATAGCAAATCCCAAAGAAAACTCTGATTGGTCAGCCTGAGTCACAGACAGCAGAGCTCCTTGACTGACAGCTCCAGCCAGTCACAGGGCATGCAGAGTAGGAGGTATAAGTGTCACGGATGTCTGCTCAGGCACCTGGCTGGGCACTGGCCTCTGTCTGCACCAACTGCTCGAGGTACCGACTGCAAACCCCTCACGGTCCTATAACACATCTGCAGGCCGCCTTGCTCCGTCCTCTGCCCCTCCTGCAAGTGGCTGCCCGTGTGTGACAGGCACAGGTTGGGGACAGGCTGCTGGCTGCAGCTCGTACACTGGGGCAGAAACTGGTCACTCTAGAGGCCTCAGGCAGAGCTGGGATGGCAGGAGATGGTGGACACAGCCCCAGCCTCCAGTTACCAGGAGGAGCCAGCAGGGCTGCCAGTGCCAACCCAGGGGGCAGCTGGGGGCAGCAGAGGTGAGTCATGGCGGGAGGATGCAGGCTCCAAATTCAAATCCTGGCCCACTGATTACACTAGGGCATGACCCTGACCTGGGCTCAGGCCCTCAGTTTCCTTGTGCGTGAAGGGGCACTCGTGTCCTAGCACACCTTGTACATTAAACTTGAGTTTGCTGGGACCTGACTTTGCCCACCTGCGGAGTTGTGACAGTGACACGTGTGAGACGTGGTGGGGACTCGGGGGCTTGGGTCGTGTGAGTGCTGAGTGGCTGTTAGCCGCTACTCGTCAGTGTAGGTGACACATGGGACTTTTAGAACTGACAGAAAGCAGATTCCAAGCACCCCCCACCCACCCAGCAGAGACACAACCTTCCCCTCACTGTGTGATAGTGGGAAGGGGGTGACTTGTGGAGTGGGGCTGAGGAGAGCAGCTCTGGCCTTAGAGGCACAGAACTGGAGCAGCTTATAATAGAACGGTGCAGGAACTGGAACTCCCTGGAACTCATGCAGCGAGGTGCTGCCAGCTCTCCTGGCTCCTGCCCAGCCCCCAGGCAGCCATCTGAGGGCAGGCAGGGCTTAGGCAGTTTCTAAGCCATGTGACAGCAGCAGATGCCCAGTCATCTGGGTCACCTGCAGGACCCTTCCTTGATGGTGCTGGCTCTGATCTGGGAAAGGCTGGACAGGCGATGGAGTTATCCATAAAGCTGGTGCCTTCCAGCTTCAGAGCACATACGGCCTGCCTCTAATTGTTGTAGTCACATTTGTCACATAGCTCATCCCTTCTGTCCAATGCCTGGCACTGTGGTGGGCACATCATACACGTAGCTACTACTCTGGGATTGATACCACTGCCAACCCCATGTTACAGATAACAGAACTGGCACAGAGGGGTTGGGAGCGTGCCCAGGGCCACACAGCCTGGAGGGTGAACTCGCCTAGATTAGAACTGACTCCAGAGCCAGGGCCCTCAGCCGCCCGTCTCCCCCATTAGACCATAGGGTCATTGGCAATAACTGCCTCTTGCAGGACTGTCACTCCCTGCTTGCATGCTATCTGCATACAGTCAGTGCTCAAGCAGTCTGGTCGGACAGAAGACACTTTCTCCACCCAGCAGGAGGGCCGTCTGCAGGGAACCTGGGAGGCCTTCCAGGCTGAGGCTTTTGAACTAGGCCCTTCATTCAACCACTTTTATTGAGCACCTACTGTGTGCCAGGCACCGTAGCTCTGGGATTCAATAGGGAGGAGACACCCAAGGGGTCTGCTCTGGAGGAGATGATGTGGGCGTGCAGGCAGATGAGACCCAAATAAATAAACCAACAAGAAGAATGGTTGCCGAAAACAGGCACTTTGGTGGGAACAAAAGACAGAGTAGGGAGAGCTGACCACAGAGCAAGGCCTCTTGGGACAGGCTGGGACCTGGAGGATGACGGTGCTTCTGTTGGGCAGGTGGAGATGGCTGCCTCAGGCATGGTCAGAAGGCTGGTGTGACCAGCCTGGGCAACATAGCGAGATGCCATCTCTACAAAAAAAATCAATGAAGTAACTGGACATGGTGGCGCACGCCAATAGTTCCAGCTACTCGGGAGACTGAGGTGGGAGGATCGCTTTAGCCCAGGAGACTGAGGTCACAGTGAGTTTCTATTGCACCACCGCACTCAGCCTGGGCTGCAGAGGATGACCCTGCTGTGGCTCAAGTGCAGTGACAAGGAGCAAGCACTGAGCCTAGGCTGCTGGGGGGCCAGGGGATGGAGAAGCAAGATGCCTGGCTCTCGCTGCAGTATGAGGAGTGGAGGCAGGGAGGCCGCGTGAGCTTCCGGAAAGCGAGAGACGGTGGGGTTGGAGGGCAGTGGGCAGATTGAGGGCTGTGTCTGGAAGCGCTGCTGCCGATTGGGTGTGGGGGGTTGGAGGGTGTGGGGTGGCCTCTAGGTTCCCTGCTTGGCAAAACAGTGTTGGGCAGTGCTTGGATTTCATGGGCCCAGGAACATCCGGGTGGTGGGAGCATGTGAGCGGGGTCATGGGGGCCCTGGAAATGCCCAAATCTCCTCCACCCCGGTGAGGAGGAGCCTTAGTGGGATCCAGAGGCTGTGGAAGGGTCTTCCCGGCAGCTGCGGAATAGGGGGCAGCGAGCTGGACTGGTGTCTTCCCTTCTCGTGCCTCAATGTTCCCCTCTGTGTAATGGGGTGTAGGTGGGCCCACCCACAAGGCAGCCCAGGCGAGGACCCTCTCTCCGCCCCTCACTCACCAGCTGTCCCTGCTTTCCAGCGGTCAGGGTGAGCCCCTGCCACTCCCGACAGCCCTCTGTCATCTCCGACGCATCGGCCGCCGAGGGTGACCGGTCATCCACGCCGAGCGACATCAACTCCCCGCGACACCGGACGCACTCCCTCTGCAACGTAAGGCCAGCAGCAGGGGGCCTGGGCCCCTGGGCCCTGCCCAGACAGCGGGGGGGCGAGTGAAGCCCACTCGCTGTTTCCTCTCACCCCCAGGGAGCACTCTGGCGGAGGCATTTCCTGTTCTGTTCTTTCCTTTTGCGAGAAGCCACGGATGTGGGGAGAGCTGAGGCCTGTTTGATCCTTGTGTCCGGGAGGGTGAGGATCCCAGGACGCGGGCTGGGTTGGCCCGGGGTCCATGCAGCCGGGAATCCCACCCGGGGCCTGTCGGACCGTGGGCTCCTCCCGGACTTACCCAGAGTCGGGGCCTTGGTACCACCTCTAGCCCTTAGAGCCAGCTCTCCCTCCTCCTTCACCTGGAAGTTTCCAGCAGTTCTGGCATGCGCTCCCTCCAGAGAGGGGCTGTAGATTTGTTCTCGTTTGTGTACTGCTTAATCAAGCACTCTTTGGTTGCACACGGGCACCCACTCCCAAGAGGCTCAAGTCCCTAGCCACTGAATGTTGTTGACCAGAATGGGGGGCGTCCACGACCGAGGACAGGTGACAGCCACCGCAAGTCCCTGATGCGGGGACCTCTGGGAACTCAGTTCCATCACACAGTTGTTGACACAGAGAGAGAGACCCCATGGGGCTGGGTCCTCACAGGAATGGGGAGGATTTTCCAGAACTCAGTGAGTGTTGCTTTATTACCAGCAAAGCAGATAATAAGAAAGCAGTGAGGTGAACATGTGTGGCAAAACCACAACTTGGTAATGATGCGATTGTCTACCTGGAAAACTCGAGTGACTTGAAAAGCAGTTAGAACTAATAATAGGCAAGGACATCATGGGACTACTTGAAAATCAATTTCTAGAAATCAGTCACTGTCCTGCACATGAGAACTAATGACGGGACTGTGTTTCTCCATCCACAGTAACAACCAAGAGCACTTAGAGATGAGTCAAGGGGAAGAAGCTGCCTCCTCTTGCTGGTGTGGGCGGCCAGGATTGCTTCCCGCAGCCCCCAGGGTGGGAAGAGGTGCAGCCTGGGGCTCTGCTCTGGGCTGGAACTCATTTTTTCCTGGGGCCTTAAGGAAGCAGCGTGTTCTTCTCTTGTCCCCAAGAGAGAATCCTAGAGATGCAGTCTGTCTTGACTGACAGCACCAAGGCAAAGATGGTAGGTCCTTAGAGGGGCCCTGACATCCGTTCCCTGGTCCTGAAGGACCAATGCAGAGCAACACCTGGAGCCAACAGTGCCCCCCATGTTCAGTGCAGGGAGAGAGGCCCAGCCCAGGCCAGACACCCTGCGGTGTCCACACACATCCCAAATGCAGGCGCCTTCCCATGGGCTGCGTTGTAACTCCTGGCGGTGGGCCCAGGCTCTGACAGTGGAACTGCTGCTGTGGAGAGTCCATCCTTCAGAGGGTTCTCCGAAGGCCTCTTGACCACGTTTGGCGCCAGCTGAGCCTCTTTCTCAACTTGGCCTCAGCACCTGCTGCTAGAGGCGGTTCTGGCACATTCACTTCCACACCCACCTCGCCCAGGACCCTGCTGCCAGGGAGGGTGCTTCAATGAACATCTCTCTGCCTACGGGGTCTCCTGCGGGCAGGCCTCAGCCTCTTACCTGTAAATTTGGCGAAGATGGGGACTACCCTGAGGAGAACCCTCTGAGCTGCCTGCAGGGTGGGATCTGCTTGCAAACCTTGAGATGGGACCAAAGGCTAAACTGCCATTTGTTACGTTCCCTCCCTTCCTCAACCCCCTCAATCCCCCATCTCAACATGTGTGCACACAGGTAAGCCAGGAAGGGCCCAAAAGTAGTTCCCAGGTAACCCTCTGTCCTCGGACACCTGACCTGACACCACCAAGAACAGTGCAACCCGGACTAAGGACTGCCTCATTCTCCCACACTCTGGCCGCTAACTTAGAACAGAGGTGGAGACTCAGCTCAGAGAGGCTGGAGAACAGGTCTTGGTCCAAACAACACTCATTCCTTCGTGAGCATTATGCCTGCAATTCCAGGAATAGCCACCAGGAGGCTCCCTAGTACTGACTTGTGATCCGAAGGACTTATTGCCTCCAGGCAGGGCAGACTGCTTCTAGGATGCAGTGAAGGCTTTTGCATGCCCATGGGTTCTCCTCACCCACCTAGGGCAGGGCCGGCAACATGATGGAAACATTCTACCTTTCCAGCCTATCTGAGGCTTCCTAGGAAAGGGAAGGAGCTCTAACTCATGGGTGGGGCCCATGGGACAGCCCCCAAACCCAGAGCATGTGCATTTGCCCTGGGCCCCTGCCTGGAGGTAGCGCTGAGCCAGGAGAAATCAGACAGACCCCCACAACTTGAGTTGCGGCCCTGCGTTAATCAGCTCCCAGCGGTGGACTGCCTGGAGCCCATCCTGTGTCTGTAGATGGGGCTGAGGATCCTGCCTGCCCCTCCACAACTCGAGATCCATCGTGTTGGTTGTGGGGGCAGCTAGAGACCACAGTCTCCCAAGTCGGTTTCCAGCCTGCAATTCTTGATTACTGTGCTTTTTCTATAAACATGTATTTCTTTATGGAAAGCACTCAGTATGACCCAGCTCTAGTTCTAATGCAGTGAATCCACTGGGACAGGGATTGAGAAGCAAGCAAGCCTCTGAGCGGCTGACTTGTTGGTGTGAGGATGTCGGGAGTGGAGAGGCCAGTGCAGGCAGGAGCCCCCCCCCCAGGGCCTCCCATCAGAGCCCCAGGCCCCATCAGCCGTCTGGCAGTGTCTGCTTGGCAGAACAGCCCCAGGGATGGTTTCCCTCCACAGAAGGCCCTGCCCCCGCCCCCAACTCCCAACTCCCGGGTGTCACGTGTCTCTGCCATTTCATCTTCCTCCTCTCCTTTGGCTACAGGGCGACAGTCCCGGCCCGGTTCAGAAGAACCTGCACAACCCTATTGTACAGGTAGGTGCGCCTCCCGGCCCTTTAAGCCTCCCTCCCACCATGGCCTTGACTTTGTCCCTTGTTCCCTGGGTCCTTGGTCATTCCCACTTCCGTTCCAGACACCCAAAGCTGAGAGGAGTGAGGCCACTTCCTGTCCTCTGCTGACCTAGAGCTGCTAGGTGCCCCTTGTCCTTTCCCTAATTATAAAATCACCATTATTGTTTAGAGGCTGATGAACCAGGTGCTGGCTCTTGGGGCCCTTTGCTGCTAGAAATTCTTTTATCCATTTCAACGTGTTACATCCAACCAAACGTGATGACCAGTATTCTGTCGTCAAAGTGAGGAGGGGGGACGAACACCATGAGTTTGAGGGTCATCTCCCCAGTCCTAGCGCCCCACGTGCTGGTCTGTGCACCACACGTCTGCATTGGGCTCCCCGGGGAAGTGGTTCGAGTGCAAATTCCGGCCCTTGGTCCTGGAGATTCCGATCCACCAGCTATGGGGTGGGGGCTGGAATCCAGGAATTCTGAAGAGTTGTGGGAACCGTGAGTCTAGCCTAAACCCCACTGTGTTATGGCGAATGCCACCGCATGTCTTTGCCCAACGCCCCCGGCGGTTTGCAAAACTCGCCTCCAGCCACAACCCCCAAGCGCACAGGGTCCCAGCAGGAGGGCAGAGCAGGTCTCCCGTGTCGTGGCCATTTCTGC